ATAATTTATACACTAACAACTATGTGAAAATTTAAGGCACGAGGAATTAAATTAGAAAAAAATGTAATAAAAATTAGAGTGCGTCTCAATTAAATTAGATTCCCCAACAGTGCTGTAAGTATAGTTAAAGCCCACAGCATTACAGTGACCTAAACATCACTAATGTTAACTCGACTTGGAGCATATGTGGTATATTGGAAGCACTTTAGAAATACTTCTGTGGATGCTTTGCTTAAGCTTAAATGGTAATCAGACTCTTCCCAGCCTTCTCTTTATAGTGCAATAATAATAGGTATTTATTGAAGATTGGTCATGCTTCAGGGACATTATCTCTTTAAATACACCCAACAACTCTGTAAGACAAGCATTATATTCTCCCATTTTAAAGATGAGAACATTGAGGTTCAGAGAGGGTAAGTACCTTACAAAAGGTACACAGTTCTTAAGAGGAGGGGCCAAGTTGAAAGCTAGATTTCTCTGATGCCAAAGCCTGTCCTTTGAGCCAATACGCTCTACTGTACCCTGCCTGGATCATCAGCTTCAGGTGAGCTTTGACTCAGAAACTGAAAACTGCCTGGAATGAGTTGCTTTTTCTGCTTTGAGTGGGAGAGAGGTACACTAGTCCTTGACCCTCACTCAGTAGTAGAAACCTTAGCAAGTTGCCACCACCCAGGCCAGTCTTATCTCTGTACCTGCCAGTAGTTTTTTAACTTTTTATTTTGTAATAACTTTTTCTGATAGAAAAGTTGCAAAAATAGTACAAAGAGCTCCCACATACCCTTCATTCAGTTGCCCCTAATGGTAACATCTTTCATAACCATAGCACCATTAATGAAACCAGGAAATTAACATTGTTACGATACTGTTAATTAAGCTACAGACTTTATTGGAGTTTTGTCAGCTTTCCCATTAATGCCATGTTTCCTATTCCAGGATCCAAACCAGTATCCCTCGTTGCATTTGGTTTTTCTCTCTCCTTCATCTCCTCCAATCTGTGACTGTTCCTCAGTCTTTGTCTTTCATGACCTTGACACTTTTGAAGAGTACTGGTCAGTTATAGAATGTCCCTCAATTTGAATTTGAATGGATATTTTGTGATGATTATATTAAAGTGATGGATCTGGGGGAAGAACACCACAGAAGTGATGTGCCCTCCACAGTGAATTATGTCAGAGGATGCGTGTTGTCAGTATATCTTATTATTAGTGACGTTAATCCTAATCACTTGATTAAGGTGTTGTCTACCAGATTTCTCCTCTGTAAACTTACTATTTTTTCACTTTGTAGTTAATAAATATTTATTTAGGGGGAGATGCTTTGAGATCATCCTGCCAGACTTTTTAACTTAGACATATCAACTTGTTAATTTTGGCATTTATGACACTGACTTCAGAGTCCCTGTTCTGTGTAACTGTTCAAAAGAGGATGGTTGGGGTGGACAATCAGAGAACAAACTTACTCATAGTTGAGAAGGAAGAACACCCTTCAGGGGACTGGATGAGGGGCAGAGAGGCAAAGTGAGAATGGTCAACAGAGAAGAAATAAAGCCCTGGAGAACCCCGAAAAGAGACTATGAATTGTCTCTCACCCTGTTGTTAAATATTCCCTTCTTCCTTTAGTAGTTTAACCCCTGTTCATCCTCCAGTTTTAGCAAGACACGTGGCCTTCCAGCTTGAAACTACCTTTCCCGGCTGGATGTGGCCCTGTGACTAGGTTCTTTGTATGTGAGGAGGAAGTGCTAGGTGCACTTCCTCAAAAGAACGTCACTTCCTCTCTACTTTCTGCCCTTCTTCCACCATGACCCTAGAACAAGGTGTCTTAATCATTTTGTATCATGGATCAGTTTGGCATGCTGGTGAACCCCTTGAGATTTTAACAAAATGACGTTTTAAATATATAAAGGTATAGAGGACTATAAAAGAAATCAATCATACCAAAACTATAAAAATTATGTAGGAAATCAATCATAATAAAACACAGTTATAAAATATTTTTAAATAAATATATGACACATTACCCTCTGTACTTCTTTATTGATATATTACACAACAATATTTAACAAGGGGGTCTAACAGCTAACATGGTTTGAAAGTGATGAGTGTAAATGGTAGTTTGAGATAATTGCAGTTAAGTATAATGTGATATGAAAATACCTGTAACTTCTATCAGTGACAAAGTCACCAGATCTGCTAACACTGTGGTTTACTGCTTATAATTGAAGGAAACACATTTCTGTTAGAGGTTTTTCTACTTAAGTTTGTGGACATCCTGAATTTTATCCATAGACCCGAGATTAGAGGATATTGCAGCAACAAGGTAGAAGGAATCTGGGACCCTGGATGACCCATGTAACAGAACCACCTGCCTGCCCTGGACTCTCTCCTTATTGACTTCCAGACTGTTACTTGAAAAGAGAGAAATTTTTAAATGGTTTGAATCACTTTGCCATCCCTTTTTCTGAATACGTCTCGGTTACAACAGCTGAGCTGTACTTCAACTCAGTAGTTCTCAGACTTTTTGGTCTCTGGCTCCCTTTACAATCTTGAAAATTATTGACGACCTCAAACAACTTTTATATGGGTTATATGTATCAATATTTACCACATTAGAAATTAAAACTGAGAGACTATTATTTTTTTCATTCATTAAAAAATAACAATAATAAACCCAATAAATGTTAACATAAATAACATTTTTATGAAAAATAGCTGTATTTTCCAAAACAAAAAAAAGTTAGTGAGAAGAATAGGCATTGTTTTACATTTGTGAAAATCTCTCTAGTGTCTGGTTTAATAAAAGACAGCTGGATTCTCATATCTGATTCTCCATTCAATATGTTTTGCTTTGTTGTTTTGGTTAAAGCATAGGGAGGAAATTCAGCCTCACACACATATGGAGTTGGAAAAGGGAGGAGTATTTTAATAGCCATTTCAGATCATTGTGGATATTCTTTTTTGATATTATACTAAAACTCAACAGTGGTAATTTCTTAAAAGTTAGTTGTAATGTGGAATCTGAAACCATATCAATGAACTTTATACTCTGTTACATTAAAATCCATTGGTCTATCTTGCATTTTGAATGGATCTCTTACCCACTCACAATTTCATAACATCATATTGGTCATTTTGAAAATATTGGTTCACTGAGTTATGCAGATCTTCTACATGTTGACACATGTCATTATACAATATTAAAACATCACATTGGTTAACATTACCATAGATCTCATCAAAAAAGTTTTAAGTGTTGGGAAGCTGTCAAGCTCATGGTGGTGAATACAAGTCTTCCAAAATTATAATTTTTACTTGAAAGCTCAAATGTTATCATTGGCAACAAATACTGTCAGTTGTTTTCCTTGAAGTGACAGGTTTACTTACTTTATTTTTGAGGAAATGTCTGCCAACCACCATAGCTTGTCTATCAGTCATTCTTTCAAGTAAAAACGGTTTTCCATGAAAAAGTGGCTAATTTATCTCACAGCTCAATTGCACACGTACTTTTTCTTGAGACACCATCATACTTCAGTATGCAGCAAAAGTGCTTTATATGCACTTTCCATTTAGTCACCCAGAACATTAAAAAGACATGTAATCAAGGGTTGAAATTTGATAAAAACTAATTTTATTTTAGTAAAATTAATTAATCACGGCCTTGATTTGTACTGAGGCACCAGCAATTTTACCTGTTTTTGCTTTTGCACCATCCGTGCAAATGTCAACACAGTGAAAAGGGCGAATAAAATCTTAGTATTATTATGAAAATAGTTTGATCTGTGGAATGCTTAAAAGAGCCTGAGACCCATAAGGCTCAGGGACCTGACTTTGAGAATCACTCTTCTAACTAATACAACTTCCAGGATCTAAAGCAGGCAACATACTGGATGGGGACAGCTCCAGGAAAAAGACACAAAGTAACAAGAAATAAGTCAGCGTGACATTTAATGCTTTAGATCATGACCCTGGCCAAACCAATCCCTGTGAAACTAGGGAACTTGATTCCACGGGCTCCCCCTGAGCAGGCCAGCACACAGGTCTCATTAACTTCCCTGACCACTCCCCATAAGGCTTTGCCAAGCTAGTAACGGCTCTCAGATTCATGGTATGGAAATCTTTTCTTATTGTTTTGTCCATGTAGCATTCCCCCACACTCCACTCCTTTCCCAAACTGCCTGTTTTCTGAAACTGCTCTCATCTGCACTTCTGTCCACATATTTTACAGTGGAATAGGTAAGGTTACAGCATGACCCAGCTCTCAGGCCGCAGCTAATCAGTGCAGAGGTGGGCCCCAGACTCAAGAAATGCCTATAACCCTTTGCTGAAAATTTTGACCTTGGGATTGCAAACCGATCAGTGTCTTTCCAGATGGCTGAAGCTGTAAGATGGAAACCGGTGGTTGTCAAACTTGGCGCGCATTAGAATTGCTTAGAGGGCTTGTTCAAACAGACTGCTGGGCCGCCCCCAAAGTCTCTGACTCTGTAGGTCTGGGGTGGGGCCTGAGATTTTACATTTCTAGTAAGTTCCCAAGTGAGTTTATCACAGCTTGTCTCAGTACCACACTTTGCGACTGATATAAAGTTCCAGAACTGTCAGGGCTCAAGGTCATGGTTTTCATCACACAACTAGAGAGACTGGAAAAAAATCTGCCTGCAGAGATAGAGAGAGATATAAAGAAAGAGATAAATAAAGATAGAAATAGAGATAGAGATAGAAAGAGAGAGAGAGAAAGAGATAGAATGAGCCTGAAATACAGTGGTGAGGTTCACAGAGACTACCCTGGAAATTTTCAAAGGCTGTTTCCTGTGGTTCCTGAATCTCAGTCACATGTCTATCTTTGGAATCCATGAAATCCCCTGGATCCTTCTAATAAAATGTGAGTTAAAGTTGGGTTGCTACCCCATTAAGCCCAATACCTTCTTAACAGATACACCCTCTTGGAACCAGCCCCACAGAACTGGCTTTACCCTGAAGTTCTGTTTGGAACCATAAACCAAGACAATGGAAATAGAATGAGTGTCATGAAGCCTCTCACAGACTCCTGGAGCCTCAGCCAAGATCTCCATCAAAGCTGCTAGCTCATGAAGAAGATCCACAAACACCAGTAGTATTCTCAACTGAAAGGTAGGCTCGAGGTGAGGATACGTTGGTTTGAATCTGGCTCTGCTACTTGCTAGTTGTGTAATCATGAGCTAGTCACTTAAACTCTCTAAGCCTCAGTTTCCTTGTCTATAACGTGAGGATGACAATAGGACCTATCTCATAACATTCTTGTGAAAAATGAAATGAGGTATGTAGGGCAGCTTAGCACAGCATCTGACGTATGGTTAGCTCTTAATAAAGGTTGGTTATGATTATTATTAATTCTTGTTTCTGGTCTGTTCTTGCTGTGATCCTGTATTTGTAGGACCAGATTCATGGACCCTGGTTTCTATCTGGTCTCCAGTCCTCTAGATTTGGCTTTGGTGCTTAATCTCTCCAGGCTATGTTATCTCACATACAACTTCTAACCCCGGTTCCAGCTCTAGGGGCTTTAGCTAATAGTTTCTCCAGGAGATCGTTCAGGTCTCCAAACCATCGTGGTTGTTAATTCTATCAAAGGTTGAGAGCTTTCAAGGGAGTGTCCAAGTCTCAACCATCTGGGAAAGATTTCTGAGGCAAAACAAGACCTGGGAATGTGGATTTCAGCAAGCTAGTAACACGAGTCAGCTCATATGTGACAAGGGACAAAGATGATAGAAGCAAAAGGAGGTGGAAAGAATTCTGATCCTGGGTTCAGGTGTTATTGTGGCTTCTCATGCAGTGTCCATGGCTTCAGGTAGGGCATCTGGGATCACGTAAAGAATCTGATAAGGAGTAGACACCACTCCTGTCAGCTAGGACATCAACAATGCCAGACATTGTCATCACCTGCCACTCAACCATATTGAAAATCAAACTCTGTCTTCAATTTCTTCTATTTTCAGTTTGCTAGGCCTTGTGTCCTAAAAACCCAGGTAGACATCTGCAAGAGGGCCAACTCAATAGTAAGCCAACCCTGGCACCCTAATAAGGGACAAGACATAAAAACTGTTAACCTACGTTCTATACCCTTTGGATATTTCCATCCCTGACCCTCATCTCTGTTACTCTCAGAAATCCTCTCTCATGCCCTCATAAGCTTCTACTGCCCTGTTCTTCTTCCCCCAATTTATCTGGCTTCCCCTACTTTCCTTGGTAACCAATATGTCTATGTTCTCTGGGACTGCTTGTCATGACTGAAATGTGACCCTCCTCCAGAACAGTGTCTTCTTCACAACCTTCTCAAACTGAGGCTGTGGATTCTCCTATGATCCCAGCACCTCCCCTGCCTCTCCCAAAACTTCCTTCTTTAAGGCTTTCCCATTTAGGCATCTTATTCATTCCATGGTTTCAGTTCCTGTTTATGTACTGATGACTATTAAATCTTTATTTCCATCCCATCTTTTCCTCTGGTCTCCAGACTCGCATATCTAACTGCCCTTGGAAATCCCTGAAGTTGTCCAATAGGCACCTTAAAATGGAATACTCCAAACTGAAACCCCTATTCTTATAGTTGCAAACTTATTTTTCCACTTGTGTTCTGTACTTCAATACATGGCCATCAGCAAGGAATGAAGCCGTCTGCCAACAACTAAAGCCGTCTGCCAACAACTAACACCAACTTGCCAGCCAATAAGTAAGCCATCTTGGAAGTGGATCCTCCAGCCTTGGTCAAGACTGAAGATGACCACAGCAGCAGCCAGCATCTTGACTGTAACCTCATGAGAGACCCTGAGCCAGAAGCACCCAGCTAAGCTGCTCCTCAATACCTAACCCACAGAAACTGTGAGCTGATCAATGTCCTTTGTTGTTTTAAGTCACTAGTTGAGAGAATTAAGGTAATTTACTACGCAGCAAGGCACTGTGCTAGGCACTAGGATACAGTATGAAGATGAGAGATGGTACCCCTGCCCTCATGGAGTTGCAGACTATCTATGTCCTAGTCTTTCCCTCACATTCATCAAAATATTGGCACCTGGTCACAGGCTACTACTCCAGACCAAATCTTGCATTGCCCAATAAATAGCAATGGAAAGGATCATTCAATACTCCTGCCTCGCAGCTCCTTGACCTGCTCAGTTCCTATGATTCACATCCTCTCTATTTCAACAGCCCACTCTTGTGATCATAATGTGGTCTTGTCATGGGTGCATAACTGCGCCATCTGTAAAATTTTCAACTCCAACATACAACTTTTTTTTACCACAATGACTACTTTTTCTCAGTTACTTCTCTATTCTTATTGTACCTGCTCTGACCTCATTTAAGAGATCCAGGTCTGAGGAGGCCTCCTGTTCTCCCAGCTATCAACCCCTTCCTAGTTTTATTTCTTTCCTTATCCAGGCTGGATCCCATAGTCCTCACATCAACCACTTTTGTGCCAGCACTCTCACTTACTTTTCCTTTTTGTCCCCAGACTTGGATATTTTCCCCTTTGTGTGGCTATAGCACACCCTTCAGTACCCCAACCAACCTCCTCAGCATTCACCTCCATCCCTCAAAGATTGTTTACAACGAATACCTGCACCTCTATCTCTGATGACTTTTTTCTGGCTGTGAAGAGGGCTCAGAGTGCACCGGACAAGTCAGCGGTGCTGAGGAATTAATGCCCCTGGAAGCAGCCCTCAACTAATGTGGAAGAGGAGAGACGGACACCATGTTCTGCAACCACAGTTGAGCCTTACCATTGACCTGAAGTTACACTTGTGATGGTCATCTTTGCCTCTCATTTCCCAGTGGCCATCCCAAAGAATGTTGCCAGTTGCCCTCAGTGCATCTCTCTTTCTGCTTGACAGATAAAGTGAAAAAGATCTGGCAGAAACTTCATTAAATTCCTTTTCCTACCCTTCTCCTCTGCCTTTAAAAAAAAAAAAAAAAAAAAGGCAGTCTTCCTTGCCTCTTTTTCTCACCCATGTCCAGGAAAATTAGTCCCTCCTATCTAAGGCTAATCTTTCACCTGGACTCTGGATCCCATATTCCCCTCCTTCACCACTAAATGTCTCAAATCACCCCTGAATTGACACATGTGATGAAAACTTCTCAACCGTTTTCTTAATTTACCTCCCTGCAGCATCTGACATGGTTGATCACTCTCTTCTGAAACTATTTCTTCCTTGGTTCCTATGACATTTCTCTCTTGCAGTTTTCCTTCTACATTTCTGGCTACCCCCATTCAGTGTTTCCATTAATCAGACACCTCTTAAATTTCTCTCCAAACTATCCACTTCCATCCCTATTGCCAGAATGCTAGTCCAGAACCCCATCTCAAACCAAGATTCCTGAGGGAGCCTACTACCTGCCTCCTCCTTGCCACGTCACCCTCCAGCCCAAATCTATTCTCTAGACAGTAAGTAGCCAGGGTACTCTTCCTTTTTTCAGATCACTGTCTAGCTTAAAATCTATCAGTGACTCCTCATCAGTTGAGTCTGATGGATGACAAGGTTGGCAGCAGAGATAGGAGGTGCTAAAACTGGTTTGCCTGGAAGACATGAGAGATTTTCCAGTGGGGAGCTTCTGCTTCTGTCATAAAGAAATCTCATCTACCACAGTTGCACTTGAATACCAAGGCCTTTTAAACAACCCCATCTGACTTTCTAAGCCAGCAACAATTGTGGAATACCCTATAAGTTGAACCATCCTTTTGTCTTGATATCTCACTCACCTCTAAGCCCTAAGCCCTGGATATCAGCTGCACTTTCTGAAACTACTGCCCCTGAATTGATATGATTGATAGCAGTTGATATCACAGTTGTTCAACATTGTGATGGTCCTGTCTTTTAAGTCTACAAGAGGAATCATGTGCCACAAAGTAAATGCAAAAATAATAATAAAAGCTCATATTTTCCCTTTGATTTTGGTCACCAGCAATCTCAGAATTAAATTTGTATTTCAACTTAACACCTGTCTGACACCCCATCTGTGTTTGTCTACAAAATTTTGTTCTTATTTTCCATTTATGTCTTGATCTTAAAAAATTATTTGGATTTCCTCCCTTATATTTTTGTTTTCTATTGCTGCAGACCAAGTTACCACAAATTTAGTGGCTTAAAACAATATTCATTTATTATCTCTGCTTCTGTGTGTTAGGTGTCAGGCGAAGTTTAGCTGGTTCTTCTGCTCAGGGTCTCACAAAGCTGCAAGGTAGATGATGCCTGACCTGCATCTCTTTCTGGAGCTCGAGATCACATGATTGTTGGCAGAATTTCATTCTGTGCAGATGTAGGACTGAGGTTTCTTGCTGGCTGTCAACCAGGGGCCATTCCTAGCTCCATGGAGGCCCTCATAGTTCTTTGCTACATGGTCTTCTCAGAGGTCCTCTCACAACATGGCAGCTTACTTCTTCAAAGCCAGCAGGAGAACCTCTCCAGTCTGCAAAGACAGATTATATAGTGTCACATAATCATGGAAGTGGCTATACTATCACTTTTGCCATATAATGTGATTTAATCAAGGAAAGAACTATCCTCATTATATCCACAGATCCTGCTCATACTCAAAGAGAGAGGATTATAGAGGGTATGTCCACCAAGTGGCAGGAATCCCAAGGGCCATCTTAGAATTCTGCCAACCACACCTAATCTTACATTTGTATTATTACGTAAAAAAAATTTGCATAACTGTGTGTATTCTGAAATCTATCTCAAATATTTTGGGGAATAGATTATACAGGAAATTAAGAGAATATCTCACATTGTATGGTAGATTGACTCTAAAAATGGGCTGCCCCAATTATTCCCTTCTCTGTATCCATGCCTCATGTGATGTGACTTCACAGTTCATCCCAGAGATTCTGAGATAGTCATATGTCTTGTTTTGGGCAATAGAATGTAGCTGAAGTAACAGTATGAGAGTACTGAGCCTAAAACTGAAGAGGGATTGCATGGTTTTGCTCTCTTTATCTTGGAACCACACTACTGCCATGGTAACAAGCCCAGGCTTGACTGCTACAGAAGAATATACTGTGTGGGGCAAAGACAGCTGGCCCCAGCTGATCCACCAGCTGACCACAGACCTATCAGTGAGCCTACTCACGACTAGCCACGCCTATTCCAGATCAGCAGAAACTCCCTGTCAACCCATAAACTCATAAGAAATAATAAATGATTGCTGTTTTAAGCTACTAAAATTTGGGGTTATTTGTTATACAGCAATAGCTAACTGATCTATGTGGGGATTTACAACAACAGGACTTGACTGTGTAACGGAAGTAAAGTAGCCTGAAAAGGTATAATTCACTCACAGCACCCTCAAATTTCTGTTTCACATGCTAAATCATTACTGCTGACGGCAGGATGCTTTAAATCAGTGTGCCCAAGTAATCTTCATTCAAAAGACTCATGTGTAACCTGGAGTCCTTTCTACAATGAATAGATCAATAAAGAGATAGAGAAATCAAATAGCAAACAAATTCTACTGTGCTGTTCTAGACACAGCTGCCCTAATAGAGAAATGTGTGGTTTCTACTTTCCTTGCAGTTTTTCAGGTCTGAATTACTTTAAAATAAATCCCAATGAAAGCAGTAATCAATTATGTCAAGAAGAAAACAAAGTTTGATCTGAAAATACTAACAGAATCTAACAATTTAGAAATAAATTACTGTGTCATGTCCTGTGGCAAGATTGTATCAAATTGCTTAAAGACAAATTGTACAATCAACTCCTGGGTATCTGCATGTGGATTATCCTTTTTCTAGATTATCAAGGGCAAGTATTTAATTCCAGGTTTTTATCGCTCTTCTCTTCAGTGTCTTTCTCCACCACCTTTCTGACTATTCTCAGTCATAGTATGCTAAGGGGACAGAAATTTAGTGAAATATAGTAATAATTCACTTATTCTGCATCATACGAGAATAAGGTGTTCGATATAAGAAAATTTCCAAGAAAGCCTAAGAGTTATCCAAACACTTGTGCTTTTTTTAAAAAAAAATAAATAAATAACCGTTATGGTATAATTTTTTTAATGTATTTTCTATTTTCCTTCCTTATGAAACAGAATGTTCTTTACTCCTTAAATAAAACTGTATTGTACAAGGTACTTTAACAGATGTTAAAAGGACATAAAGCTGAATCAAAACAGGATTCCAACCTCAAGTGGCTTACAATTGAAGGAGGTAGGATGGGTAGTAAGACATGCACCTAGATGGTAAGTTCATGAAAATGCTAAAGAAAGGTGATACATGAATTCAAAGAAAACATTGAATCCATGTAGTGACATGAGAGAAGGCTTCGTGGAGCTAGATCTTGAGGACAAGAGGGCCAGGACTTGGGTGAAGCAAGTGAGACATTTGTCCCAGGTGCAAAATTTAAACAGGCACCAAAAACCTCAGTAATCAAAATATGTAATATTCTAATGCATAATTTTTAAAAATCAAAATTAATGCAAAAATATCTAAGATAAACAAAATGTCAAAAATTTGAATAAAGACTAGGTCAGTAACAGTACCATACAGAGCCATGTTAGAGCCTGAGGCAAATGGAAAAATCAATAAAAGGCTATTTGGGTTGGTGACTAAAGAGCCCACAAAGTAGGAAGCCATAAGATTTTCCAAAATTACAGTCTATTGTAAAAATCATGGTTTATTGCAAGGAATGATAATTTTTGTGATCACTGGCCTCTTTTACAATTTTGAGTGCCACACCATGAGTGGAATATTGAGGAGATTGATGGCACATGTGTTGATGACTTGCTAAAAGGAGCAGATATTAGCCTCAGGTACTTTGTCTCCTAACCAATTAGGATTTTTAGATGGAATCTAAAACCTGATTCTGACCTTCAAGTTGTAAGTC